TGTCTGACGCGTCTGCCTCCGCGACCCGAAAGGAGAAGCGGCGATGGAAGATGATGATGATGATGATATACAATATATGCTAATGTTAATTAATTTACTACATACAATAAAACATTTAAACTTGAATTTTATGGAAAGCTAAAGAGTTTTATGAGAAAATTTTTTCAACAGTATAAAAACCTACACGATCAACAAGTTTATTCTGTTCATAAATCAGTTATTAGAAATAGTTGATTACAGGTTTTCTAATCAGAAACTATGTCAAACGGGATAAGGTTTGGTTGCAAAACATACTTCGAAAACTTGCCCTTTGCCCGTCTTTGTTAACAAGCGAGCTGAAATTCCTTTTACTCCACTGACAAGCTTTTCGGTGAACAGAAGTTTTTTTATCACATTGCAGAAAGCATTTGTTTACTAGAATATAGCATTTTCCGCAATATCGAAATTATTAAAATCGGTTCACAGATCTTTGCTCTGTGCTATTTTATTTTCCAGGGCACCTTCACTTTGTAGCTGGCCTAAAACCATACACTTTAAAAGGTTAAAACAGCGACTTCAATATCTGCTTACGAGCGCTGATCATCCAAATTTCGTTCTCCAAAGTGCGGTGCTTCCTCCGATCGATCATGACGCCAATGATCCAGAGGCACTACAAAACAAATCAGTCAGCAAATTGAAAGCGATCAGCGTCTTCAATCATAGAGCTCAATTATGTATGGTTTATCAAATAGGAATTATAACTGATGGCACCTAATTGTTGAGATCTTGGAAAGCTGGCGCAACTGTATGCTTACAGGAACCTGCCAATCATCATGACAAAGCGCTGGAGCAGGTACCTTACTGTAGGCCAAGGCGGGTGCTATTTCTCCATCAAACCACCAGTAGTGTTGTATGCAATTAGTCGGTTGCGGAACAGTACAATGCAGAAATTCACGTCATCTATGGCGAACCGTGATGTCCGTGTTGTAGCATCGTTTTTTCACTGTATGAAAATGACTTTGACAGGAAACTGGACCGTACCATTGCTGTTTTATGTCTTTATGCCTTAACCTTTCATCTAAAGTTTGTTCCGTTCAGAAATTATGGGCTGAAAACTAAAATATTATCCGACACCGACGGACAATTCTTTCTGCATGACCTTATCATTCACAGATCCAAGTTTAATCTACGAAGATGCTTAATGTGTTGTAGCTTTAAAGTCCTTCTGGATATGATCGTACCATTTGTGACTTGGCAAAACGGATATTCGGTGATAGGAAATCTGCGATCTGTCTTTTCATGATAAGAACGGTTTTTCTAAATTGTATGAATAACTAGGGCTAAAACAAGGATTGTATTGAAAAGTTTGGGAAGTAATCCTCAAGAAGAGTCCGTCATAATATGAAACTGAAACCAGAAATAATATTGTGATTTGTTAATCGTGTCTGGAATTTAGAAGGAAGTACTTATCGATGGTCATCGTTTAAAAATTGGGCTGTTTTAGGACGCCTGGGACAGTTTCCAGTATGTGTCGCGCAGATTTTATCTAATAATTTAAAATTTTACTTTCATTCAATCTTAAATCCAAATTTTTATGTGAATGTTATCATTCACTGTCATAATTATTCCTTAGTTCAGAGTATTAGTTGTGATAATTATGTATATATTTTCATACCTTGGAAATTGGATGGCATGTTTCACAGAAATTACTCTTTCTGATTACATGTGGATCGGTTTAGTAATCGCTGTTCCAGGTTGATTTAGCTTGCCCACGTCATTATTGCTCATTATAGGATTGTTCGAAATGCAACACTAGCCTCGTACGTGGTTGTATTATATGCGATCAGTATATTGGTATTGGTGCTATAGCTATTTCTAAAGTTGTTTGAACGAACTGTTATCAAGTAATAAGACAGAACACAGGCATGATGATCTGCGGTAACCATAACGAAAGGCAGTTTTTCATTATAAGAAACAGCTAAGCCATCGGTGTTTTGTATCTATAACCAATCAATTTTATCAACGGTTCACTGGTCCGGCTATTGATTAAACAGAATTACACAATGTTTTCACCTGAAGTACGTTCATCATCGCTATGCAGAACGCAGCCCACGGAAAGCCAATTGCTTCCACCAGCAAACTGCCGATTGTTGAGCCAATAAAAGACCTAAATCAAATGAATAAGAACATGCACCAACCAGTACCATGAGCAAAAAATCGCACATGGTGAGGGTGAACATTTCTCTGTTGTTCAGTTGCTACGCAAGACTAATTAACTATTGAATTATTTATTAGTGGAATCAATTCCATTTTCTAATTTTAATTACTAATCGAGTAGGAAACCCATTTCAGGAGATTATATTGTAAAATTATTATGATCCCTTTGGCAAGTCACATATCGGAAGACAACGCACAAAAATTCTTTAATTAGCACGGTCTAACGTTTCGGACTATTCTTCAATTCTTCATTTTAGGCTGAAGACTAACCGAGCTCCGAAACGTCAGATGGC